TAGCCCTCCTGAGTTATTAGACCTCCTGTATATTTTTTTCCCAATATTAGATTAACAGAGAGGTTTTTTTCAACACATTTCTAAACATAAGTTTTAATAACTAATTTCTAATAACTGATATTATTCAAGATAATAGTATTCAGCTTAAAGTGATATTTAAAGGCTTAACTAGGTTAATTAGGCAGGTTAGAGTAATTAAGCAAGCCATTGTATGGCCATAGTTTGTTCTGTACCACCGTAATGCACAAATATTGCTTCAGGGGGGGTTAATTATATTGAAATGAAAATGCTTTTAAAAATTTAAAAACTGCTTTTATTCCAGCCGAAATAAAACAAATAGGTTTTTCTCCAGAAAAAAAAATATTATAGGAAGTACTGTGAAAATTTCCTTGCTCTGTTAAACATCATTTGAGAAACACTTGAAAAACAAATTCACAGCAGGGCAAATAATTTGACTTCAACCATATTATAACTATTAGTTGTAGTTTCATGGCATCATTTCTTCATGCACTGAACATTGTGTAAATACTTGCACAATTTTAAATCATTATAAATGTACCTGAGGACTGTGACTCCACCCTCTTCACACTTGACTCCTCCTCCACCATTAGCTGTGCTCGTTCCATTGGCAGCATCTTCCGTCCTCACAGCAGACATCCCAGCGTCTTCTGACTGAGCAAACACATTCACAAAAACAGGACACACACATCTCTATAAGCCATCTTTCTGGAAACTTCTCATAGATAGTTTATTTTAATACTGTACAAACGTGATGTTTTATTTCCTTATTCTAAACTCTACCCGTCAGAACAACCCCCAGAGAAAATGTTTAGATTTTTACATTTTGAAAATCACTTAATTCTGTGCGACTAAACCTTTCTCATGGGAACGAAATAATGTGAGAAGTTACTTCTATTACTGTACATGAGGCAAAACAATGAAGGGAATATCAGGTGTGTATGCATGCGCACACGCATACCCCATTTTTGATTATCTGCCTCTCCTGACATTCACACAGATTATTTTCATACAGTGCTTCTTTTACCGGAATGCATATTATTTACAAACAAACACTTCCCTTAACTAAACTCAGACAATTTTAAATGTGATTTTACTCCATATTAAGAGTTTTTTTATTATTTATTTTGAACACTCAAGATTTCAGATTTTCAAATAATTTTATCTCAGCCAAATGTTGTCCAACGTGTATCATAAAAACATGATGGATTGAGATTACTTATTTAGGTTAATTATTACTAGGCCTGGGCGAGAAAATCGGCATTGATATTTATTGACCGAACACCATTGTCAACATTGATAAAAAAAAAAAAAGATTCAGTATTTAGTTTCGGCATAAAGCGCTATACTTTTATTAAAATGTGGCTGCTGTGCGCATGCCTTGGAAGCAATGCCAATAAGCTCAGGGTGTCATTTTGTTATTTCCAATGGAGCGACGCGTATATGTTGTCCAAGCAGTAAGCAGTGAACCGTGCGCATTTTCCAGCTGCACCTAGTTTAAAAAACATTTGAAAATTTTCAGAATGCTGCGAGCGCACTACTATTCATGCAAGTAGAACTAACCAATCTGCTTCACGCTTTATATGAAATACACACATTTCAGTAATAATGGCACAATAAGGCCCCGTTTACACTGCCAGTTAAATGTGACCCAATTTTTTTGCTCATATGTGACACAGATCAGATCTGTTCACGGAAAAAAAAAAACGCATGCATTCGGATATTCAAAGATCGGTTTCAGGCCTCCTTCATATGGAAATAAATCAGATAGAGATCAGATATGTGATAATGCAACTATCTTGTAAACAGGCAGATCGGATTTATTGAGGTATTCCGTTCTGTACATCATTAAACTTGCAACAATGTGGTGCTTCTCCGCAGTTTAATGACAGAAAGAAGAGCGTGTGTGGAGATGCCCGCTCGGTAAATAACATTAGAGAAAACACAGAGGAGGAAAGTAGTCAGTCGCCACAATTTGCTCCCACCAGACCTGAGATCTCTCTCATACCCACAAATTTCGATGAATGGTGGAGGACATCATAAAGCATATAAACCATAAGCGCAAGCTGCGATGACGGCCCTTTCCCACCTCCTCCGTCTCAAGATCATTTTAAAGTTGGGTGAACTTCGTGTAGTAACTTTTGCTTTTTGTCGCTATTAATACACGCACTGCGAGCTGCACATAGCAGAACTTTATTCTCTTCAACACCAGTGCGCACACAGGCAAAGGCTACATCTTCAACTACACACACACACATCAGGGCCATACCATTACATAAATTGCGTGGGGGTAAATCTGGACTAAACTATTTACTGCTTATACTACACTTCGCATATTTTGCATAGCTAAAAACAAGACAATTTCTTCCATTGTGGCAAGTGTGGCACAGATGCTAGAACCCGCCTTCATGCATGCGCGACATCGTAAATTGTATGGCAAGTGTAAACACAATATTGGATATGGGTCACAATTAGAACAACGTGTAAACAGACAGGCAAACAAATCAGATATAGACAACAAATCAGAATTGGAAATCAAGACCTGACAGTGTAAACGGGGCCTAATTATCTCAGACAAACACAGCACACCCAAACAGCGCTTTTTACTTTTCTCCATAATTTAGCATCGGAGCTGCAGTAATCATTTCTCTGTTTGTCATCCTATGAGAAAACGGTTGATGGTCACCTAGTTACGAGAAATGCCAGGGGAGCATGAGCGCAAAGTCCATTGTAAAAGATCAAGGAATCCACACGCACAGGCTTGTCACTTTAGGTCAGAAAAACAACACATGTGAAATTGAGTGCCGTATAGCAGCAGCGAGGAGATTGTAAATAAAAATGTAAGGATGTCGCCAGAGTGGCTTTTTGGTTTCTTTTCTTTTGCATCCCAGCCACTAGCAGCCCATGTGAAGAAATTTTTAGCATAGGGCTAATGTAGTCATTCAACTTCACAATTTATAATGTTCAGCTGTATCTGAATAATGCTGGTTGGTTCCTTCACTTGAAAGCTCAGATTTGATTATCATAATTAGTGTTGTTGATTTACTGTATCATTATTAATTCTGACACCTTAACCCTTTAATTGTTCAATATCTCCGCTTTACCATTGCACACACTTTGTAACATTTTATTCATCAAGTTTAACAGGCTCTTTAACACTTATGTTTATTTTATTATAAAGCGATCAGATATTTAGTTTACATATTTTGTTTTTGACTATTAAATCTATTTGCCTCAGGAATGTTGGTAAATTAAAATAAAGTGGTTAAATAAGAAAATCCTAATATTCCTAATCGTATTGTTAAAAAAACATTGAATAATTATTTATATCATATGATATGAAACATAATATTGTGATGATTTTTTTGTAATATCGCCTAGCCCTACTCATTACTTTTCAAAAACTGTTCATTATAAACTCTTTTCTTGCCAGTAAATCAGTTCAAAATCCCATAATTGAAAGAGAAACAACACACATTCACTCTTTTCCTAATGTAACAACATTTCAGCATCGAAATTCAGATATGACCTTATAAAAGGACATTTCAGGTATTGTCTTTATCAAAATATCATAAACACTGCCCAGTTCATCCAAAAGCCCTCAGAGTTTGTGCAGATGATGACATTATTATAATAATAGGCTCTTACCTCCAACTCAACCTCCTAAACTGGGGCTCCAACTGTCCGTTTAGCTGACTATTGAGGATGATCATAAAAGAACATCCAGTGAAGTGATTGTTCCTGAGGACACACACACACAGAGAGAGAGAGAGAGAGAGAGAGAGAGAGAGAGAGAGAGAGAGAGAGAGAAACAGACAGAGAGAGGGGAGAGTGAGAATTGAATTTTGGAGAGGAAAAAAAACTATTATTTATATAAAAAACTTTAAACAAAATGTAATATTCACCTTTTAATATCATACAAAAACAAACTTATTGACAGAGCAAAGTAATGTTGTTGTTTTTTTGCATATCTACATTGGGCGATTTGGTCTAAAATCAAAATCTCGATTAATTGAAATGTTAACTCGATTAAGATTACTAAAATATGATTTTATGTGTTTTTATTTATTTATTTTTTGCCCCCTCCAAGCTACTCACTCTAGTCAATGCTACCAAGTAGAGATGCTCCGCACACACCAATTACAGAGACTGTATTTTTTTAACTGTTGGTGGTTTTTACATCATTAAACTTCAGACGTGCCATGATCATCCATGGAATTATAAAGAAATGAGTATTCTGGATTTGACTGAATCTAAAACAATAAAGAATGCTAATATGTTGAACTGAAGCCAGCTTTACTCTTATAATGATGATCAGTGACAAACACACAAACAAAGAGAAACGCACGCACGCAGACACACACAGACAGTGAGAAACACTCAAAAAAACACACATAGATAAACAAAAACACACAGATTGAGTTACACACAATCAAACACATAGAATGAGAGAGACAAACACACTCACACACACACACACACACACACGTGTTGTTGTTTGTTTGTGTATTACTGTGTCGCTCTCTCACACACACTCACACACACACACAGAGAGCAAGTGACAAACACATATACAGTGTGTGCGTGTGTGCGAGTAAGTGAGAAAGAGACACAAACAAACAACAACACACGGAGACAAACACAGAGAGTAAGTGGCAAACACACAGACAAACAAACAAATAAACACACACACACACACACACAAAGACTGAGGCAAACAACCAAAATCCCAGTGTCAAACCCACCAAAAACATAAGAGACAGAGTAACAAACACACAGAGTGAGAGCGACAAACACAGACAAACAACACACAAACACAAAGAAAGAGAGTGAGTGAGTTACTGACAAGCAAACACACACACACACACATTGAAAAAGACACACACAGAGTAAGTGACAAACAAAACACACAAACACACACACACACAGAGTGAATGACAAACACACACACAAACTAACACAGAGAGAGACAAACACAAACAAAAACAAACAAAACACGGACAAAGCATGAGAAACACAAAGAGTGAGTGGCAAACACAAACACACACAAACAAAACACAAACACACACACACACAGAGTGAATGACAAACACACACAAACAAACACAGAGTGAGAGAGACAAACACAAACAAAAACAAACAAAATGACTGACGAGCAAACACACACACACACAAATGCAGTGAAAGAGACAAACACAAACAAACAGAAAGACTAACAAACACACATACACAGAGTGAGAGAGAGACAAACACAAACAAAACAAACAAAATGACTGACAAGCAAACACACACACACAAACGCAGAGTGAGAGACAAACACAAACAAACAGAATGACTGACAAGCAAGCAAACACACGCAAAAGCAGAGAGACAAACACAAACAAAAACAAACAAAATGGCTGACAAACACACACAGACACACACACAAACGCAGAGACAAACAAAAACAAACAGAATGGCTGACAAACAAACACACACACAGAGTGAGATAAACACAAACAAAAACAAACAGAATGACTGACAAGCAAGCAAACACACACAAACGCAGAGAGACAAACACAAACACAAACAAACAGAATGACTGACAAGCAAGCAAACACACGCAAACGCAGAGAGACAAACACAAACAAAAACAAACAAAATGGCTGACAAACACACACAGACACACACACAAACGCAGAGACAAACAAAAACAAACAGAATGGCTGACAAACACACACAGACACACACACAAACGCAGAGAGACAAACATAAACAAACAGAATGAGTGACAAACAAACACACCCACCCACACACACACACACACACACACACACACACACACACACACAGAGAGTGAGACAAACACAAACAAAAACAAACAGAAGGACTGACAAGCAAGCAAACATACACACACACAAACAAACAGAATGAGTGGCAAACAAACACACACACAAACACAGACAGACGCACAAAACACACAGAGAGTGACAAACACACGAGAGATAGAGTGACTGACAAGCACACAAATACAAACACAAGTAACGTTACACACAGCGAGTGTCTATTCCCCCGCACACACTGAAAGGCGCTTCAAACAGCGGTTGTTGTGTTTTTGTGTTTGCGAGATGAACGAAGACAAAAGAGCAGTCATGGCGAGCTTTCTGGTGTTTACCACTGAAAATACCGTATAGTCGCACTGTCCTGAGATCAGCATCCGCTTCAAACACACAGACAGCTTCAAAAGCATCGACATAATCAACTGCCATTATCCCACATTATCCTACTATCATTAAAAGTTGCACTCTTTGTGTACGTATGCCACACTTCCGAACAGAAGCAGTACTTACAGTCCAGCTCTTCGGGAAATCCTGATTAAAACAGAGATTTTAATGATCTGCTGAAGCTGTATGAGTTATGATGGACAGGGAAGAGATTGTAGAAGTGGTCAATATTACGGGAACTCGCTTTTGTCTGCGGAGCTCGAGCTCTCCGAACTCAAAACAGGAAGCGGCAGGAAGAAACCACGTGGCCTTCAGAGGCCGCTCTTAAAGGGACAGTTCACCCAAAATTCATGACAGCTTTAGATATAGGGCACTTTCAACAATTTTAGAGGACACAGGATTGGGTCATAGGATTTAGTAGGGTTTTGATGATTATGTCCATTTAAGAGTTGAGGAGCTCAGTACGGAAGATGGAGGAGCTGAACACGCAGTGCCAGCTTTGGTATGAGAACTGATGGATCCCAGGCACCCCCACCCCCCTGTAGATGGCGGTAATACTACCATGGAGTGAACCGCCAATGAACAAAAAGGAAGAAAAAAGAAAATTAATATGTACGATAAAACATGTATTTTTTATGGTATTTAAATGAAAAAAGCAGTCTATGGTTTTTATACAGTGTATGGCAGGGCTGCTCAACCCTGTTCCCGGAGATCGACCTTCTGGCAGAGTTGCAACCCATACCAAACACACCTGCCTGTAATTATCAAGTGCTGTTCAGGTCCTATTTAATTGGTTCAGGTGTGTTTGATCAGGGTTGGAGCTGAAATTAGCAGGAAGGTCGATCTCCAGAAACAGGGTTGAGCAGCCCTGGTGTATGGTATTCATGCACTGCCAGATATAGCACATAGTAAGACATAGGCTGCGTCCAAAATCACCTAATACTCAGTAGGTACTGCATTTGAATGTATTACTCGATTATTAGAAAAGTACGATCTATATAGTATGAATGTGAGTGGTATGACTGGAACTCGGACGTACTACATCCGCCATTTTGTCATGATCAGTTGTGCCGATTCACTTCCATTACGTCCCATTCACACGGTGCGTCAGCGACAACGCTTTCCATTCCTTTTGAATGGGTGACGTCAGGCATTGCCGAACTGCATTGTGGATCTGTCGGCGCAGCTTCAGTGGCGTAGTTCGCTCTAGAAGTTGGGACTTTCTCAACTTTTCAATCGCCCGATGGACGATCGCGTCAGCACCAACTTCAGACATGCCCTCTGTCAAGCGTTGACACTGAATCTCCATGTGAACCGGGCGTTAACGAATTCCCTCACGTGGTATCATGGGATATCGTAGTGTGCATTCCTTGTGCACTTCAGAATCTCGTTGGTAAAGTCTTGCATACTATTTTTCGAATTCTATGAATTCAGATTGATACAAACAAACTACTCTGCTCGCATACTGATTTTAGCGCACTATATAGTATGAAAGTATGCTATTTCAGACACAGCCATAGACTATTTACACAGCTACAGGAAAAACAAGTGGAACCCAACATGACAAACATTTTTAAGTTTGTTTTAGATATTTACATAACTTTTTGAAAGGTTTAAGTTGCAGAATTTAGTGTTTAGTTGAGTATTAATTTATTGGCTCAGTGGTAAGCACTGTCGCCTCACAGCAAGAAGGTCACTGGTTCGAGCCCCGGCTGGGTCAGTTGGCATTTCTGTGTGGAGTTTGCATGTTCTCCCTGTGTGCGCATGGGTTTCCTCCGGGTGCTCTGGTTTCCCCCACAGTCCAAAGACATGCGGTACAGGTGAATTGAATAAACTAAATTGACCATAGTGTGTGTGTGAATGGGGGTGTATGGGTGTTTCCCAGTGATGGGTTGCAGCTGGAAGGGCATCTGCTGCGTATGCTGAAATGGCTGTGGCGACCTCTGATAAACAAGGGACTAAGCAGAAGGAAAATGAATTAATAAAATATAAGTGTTACTCCTGGCCCACACTCCAGTCCAGATGGTGGCAGTAATTCTCCAAAAGGATGGTTGCCAAACAGCACAAAATTACATGAAGGAGAAGAAATTAAAACATTCTCCAAATTTACTTGGGCTGCGTCCGAAACTGCATACTTCCATACTATATAGGACGCTAAAATCAGTATGCGAGCCGAGTAGTATGTCCGAATTCATAGAATTCGAAAATCAGTAGGCGAGAAGTACCTGGATGACTTCCTACTTCCGGCGAGATTCTGAAGTGCGCATCACATGCATGCTGCGCTATCCCATAATGCCCTGTGAGAGAATTCATGAATGAAAGCGAGGCGACGCAACTGACGCAGGTAGGTCACGTGACCATGACAAAATGGCGGATGTAGTACGTCCGAATTCCATTCACTTTTCACATTCATACTGTATAGAACATACTTTTCTAACGGCCGAGTAGTACATTTAAATTCGAATGCAGCACCTACTGAGTAGTAGGCGGTTTCGGACGCAGCCTTGGACTCAAGTGGTTCCAAACCTTTATACTTTTCTTCGTTGTCCTAAAACGCAGAATATTTTCTGATGAATTGTGGTAGACCTTATCTTTCATTGTAGAGAGAGCTATAATGTGGAACACAATGGCCAACAATTTTAACATTCTACAAAATATCTTCATTTGTTTTCAACCTCAAGCAGGTTACATAGTTAAGTTAACAATGACAGCTTTTTCATTTTAGGATAACTATTTTCATACCAGTAGCCAATCACATCAGCCATAGCACATGGCAGCAACTCAATGCATTTAGGCATGTAGACACGGTCAAGACGATCTGCTTCAGTTCAAACCGAGCATTAGGATGGGGAAGAAAGGTCTTTTAAGTGACTTTGAACGTGGCATGGTTGTTAATGCCAAACGGGCTGATCTGAGTAATTCAGAAACTGCAGAAAAGCATCTCTGAACACATCCAACCTTGAGGCAAATGGGCTACAGCAGCAGAAGGCCACACCGTGTGCCGCTTTAGTCAGCTAGGAACAGGAAACTGAGGCTACAGTTCACACAAGCTCACCAAAATTGGATGATAGAAGATTGGAAAAATGGTGCCTGGTTTGATGAGTCTTGATTTTTGCTGCAACATTCAGATGGTACGGTCAGAATTTGGCATGAACAACAGGAAAGC